TTAAAAGTTTATATTTTGCATAACGCAAGCTCATACTAAGCTGCGCCTTAGTTTGCAAGGTCCACAATGAAAAACCCTTTTGTTAATTGAGATTTTGGACTACTTTTCACTCTTGATTGTGGTTCTTAACGCCAACAAGTTGATCAATATTGTTTTCGGAACCAAAAATATTGGAACAAGAGAAGAAATATAGTTACAAAAAATCTTTAGAAAAAACTGCGATTCGCGATACGTTAGAAGTTTTCCAAATTCTTACTTAGCAGTCTTGTGCTCAGATTTTTCACTTTAGGTTTTGCAGGCTTAAGTCAAATTTTGCAGACTTATGTTCAGATATAGCAGAACTTTGTTTACGCTTTGCACGTTTAGGTGCAGAGCAGACTTTGTAGGTAAATGTGCAGACTTTTTGTCTTATGTCCAGACTTTTCAGTAACATGTTTAAGTCTTGCAGAATGTCAATTTGAATGTCAATTTCTTTTTTTTGACACCGCATTTTCTACTGATCGTAAATTTTCATACAATTTTCTCCTCACTATATAATGTTTCCGCATTGTGAAACGCTCTAAAATTAACAGTTGGTTTTGATCGTCCATTTCAACCAAATTTTTTATTTGAAAAATCAGCTTATACAGCAATCTGTTATAAACTATAAAGTCTAAATTGTATAATAAACCCTACTTTTAATTTTAAAGTTTTTTTCATTAGGTGTAATAGCACTGAAACTGTGCATTTTTTTCTTTTGCAGCCCAATTTGTACGTTTTATTCACTATGTTCTTCAACCTAAAACTACTATTTTTTATTTGAATGTTTTTTTTTACAAATTTTTCAAAAACTCTCATTTTGCTTGAAGCAAGCTCATACTAAGCTGCGACTTAATTTGCAAGGTCCACAATGAAAAACCCTTTTGTAAATTGAGATTTTGGACTACTTTTCACTCTTGATTGTGGTTCTTAACGCCAACAAGTTGATCAATATTGTTTTCGGAACCAAAAATATTATAACAAGAGAAGAAATATAGTTACGAAAAATCTTTAGAAAAAACTGCGATTCGCGATACGTTAGAAATTTTCCAAATTCTTACTTAGCAGTCTTGTGTTCAGATTTTTCACTTTAGGTTTTGCAGGCTTAAGTCAAATTATGCAGACTTATGTTCAGATATAGCAGAACTTTGTTTACGCTTTGCACGTTTAGGTGCAGATCAGACTTTGTAGGTAAATGTGCAGACTTTTTGTCTTATGTCCAGACTTTTCAGTAACATGTTTAAGTCTTGCAGACTTTCATTTGAATGTCAATTTCTTTTTTTTTGACACCGCATTTTCTTTTGATCGTAAATTTCCATACAATTTTCTCCTCACTATATAATGTTTCCGCATTGTGAAACGCTCTAAAATTAACAGTTGGTTTTGATCGTCCATTTCAACCAAATTTTTTATTTGAAAAATCAGCTTATACAGCAATCTGTTATAAACTATAAAGTCTAAATTGTATAATAAACCCTACTTTTAATTTTAAAGTTTTTTTAATTAGGTGTAATAGCACTGAAACTGTGCATTTTTTTCTTTTGCAGCCCAATTTGTACGTTTTATTCACTATGTTCTTCAACCTAAAACTACTATTTTTTATTTGAATGTTTTTTTTACAAATTTTTCAAAAATTCTCATTTTGCTTGAAGCAAGCTCATACTAAGCTGCGACTTAATTTGCAAGGTCCACAATGAAAAACCCTTTTGTAAATTGAGATTTTGGACTACTTTTCACTCTTGATTGTGGTTCTTAACGCCAACAAGTTGATCAATATTGTTTTCGGAACCAAAAATATTATAACAAGAGAAGAAATATAGTTACGAAAAATCTTTAGAAAAAACTGCGATTCGCGATACGTTAGAAATTTTCCAAATTCTTACTTAGCAGTCTTGTGTTCAGATTTTTCACTTTAGGTTTTGCAGGCTTAAGTCAAATTATGCAGACTTATGTTCAGATATAGCAGAACTTTGTTTACGCTTTGCACGTTTAGGTGCAGATCAGACTTTGTAGGTAAATGTGCAGACTTTTTGTCTTATGTCCAGACTTTTCAGTAACATGTTTAAGTCTTGCAGACTTTCATTTGAATGTCAATTTCTTTTTTTTTTTGACACCGCATTTTCTTTTGATCGTAAATTTCCATACAATTTTCTCCTCACTATATAATGTTTCCGCATTGTGAAACGCTCTAAAATTAACAGTTGGTTTTGATCGTCCATTTCAACCAAATTTTTTATTTGAAAAATCAGCTTATACAGCAATCTGTTATAAACTATAAAGTCTAAATTGTATAATAAACCCTACTTTTAATTTTAAAGTTTTTTTAATTAGGTGTAATAGCACTGAAACTGTGCATTTTTTTCTTTTGCAGCCCAATTTGTACGTTTTATTCACTATGATCTTCAACCTAAAACTACTATTTTTTATTTGAATGTTTTTTTTACAAATTTTTCAAAAATTCTCATTTTGCTTGAAGCAAGCTCATACTAAGCTGCGACTTAATTTGCAAGGTCCACAATGAAAAACCCTTTTGTAAATTGAGATTTTGGACTACTTTTCACTCTTGATTGTGGTTCTTAACGCCAACAAGTTGATCAATATTGTTTTCGGAACCAAAAATATTATAACAAGAGAAGAAATATAGTTACGAAAAATCTTTAGAAAAAACTGCGATTCGCGATACGTTAGAAGTTTTTCAAATTCTTACTTAGCAGTCTTGTGTTCAGATTTTTCACTTTAGGCTTTGCAGGCTTAAATCAGACTTTGCAGACTTATGTTCAGATATAGCAGTATTTTGTTTACGCTTTGCGCGTTTAGGTGCAGTGCAGACTTTGAAGGTAAATGTGCAGACTTTTTGTCTTATGTCCAGACTTTTCAGTAACATCTTTAAGTCTTGCAGACTTTCATTCGGACTTTGCAGACTTTTGTTCCGACTTTGCAGTGTTTTAATTCGGCTTTGAGGATACATGTTCAGACTTTGTAATCTTTTGTTCAGACAATGCAGACTTATGTTCTGACCTACAGATGTTGCGGGCTTTATGTCAGACTTTGCAGACCCATTGGTGGACTTTGCAGACTTATGTTTATTTTTTGCAGACTTTGACGAGCCTTGCTATTTGAATTTCAGCAAAGCGGATCTTTCTGATCAACGCGGTTTGAATCGGGCTTTTTGCGGCTCCTTTTTTAAAAGTTTGAATTGTTCGACATTTTGTGCCCTCCATAGAACTACAAACGCAGAAAAAAAAGAAAACTGGTGAAAGATGTTTTTGAAAGTTTTGTTGCGTCACAATCAAACACAAAATGATTTGGCAAGATGTATATTTTGTCATGCTGTTGAAGTTTTAGTTAATCACCTTTATTCAAAAATCGTAACGAGGGCCATTGAAGTTTTTTTTTCAATTTTTAAAGCGAATTGTTTTGAACAAATGCTTGTTAAGTTTTAAATAAAGCTTGCTTATAAATTATTTCATTAGATTCTCAAATTTCTGCGAAACTTGCAGATGATGGCGTAGCGTATATCAAACCAACATAATCTGTTAAACCACTTATCTTACTTCCAAATAGGTCGAGACTGTCGCTGAGTTTTTTGAGACTGGCAACATGCACTCGTAGCAGTCCCATTGGTGGTGGAAACTGGTAGTTTGTTATTACAGCCTGCGGGTTCATTGAGAAAATCATTCGGTTAGGGTACACAAATTTACTTGCCACGACTTCATCAATCATGTCCCTTGGATTAACATTCAAAGCTTTTGTCGCAATATCGACAATCCCCAAGCTTATTACTTCCGCAGCTTCGAAAGCATTTAGGAAGTCAGTAAAATCGATTACGATTGAGGGTTTCTTCGTCAAATATATTGTGACTGCATGAAATAGAGGGATAAATTCAGACGTGAGATGATGCAACTTCACTCTCATTGTACCCCTGAAGTCGATCACTCCTCCAGATGAAGCGCCAATTGCGCTGTCTTTTAACTCCACTTCCACATCTTCCAACACAACACCTGAATATAACTTTAGTTGTTCTACTTTCAAATCAAGTCATGCCCGCACCGAGCTCTCATGGATCCTAATCGATTATATTGTCAATATATAGACAGTGTCTATAAAATTACAAAATAATCAATTATAATTCATTAAAAATCGAGTATAATGATACATACTATTTTTCGAAGCAACAAAATCCATTGTAATCGATTATAATCGAATATAAGCGATTACAATCGATTTTTTTGAGTTTTTCTCCGCAAAATTTAAGTTGGGTTATGATCGATTCTAATCGATTAAAATCCTTAGACAATCGGTGCGGTCATCACTTAAAGTTTTAGCTGGTCTTACAATGTTATTTGGTTGTTTTTAGTTCGGATTAATCAACTTTTTTCTCATTTTTCATTTTGATTAATGTTTGTCGATTTTTTTTTCTTCAAATTTTCGATTTTTTTTTAAATTTTGTGCGACCTCGAAAATCAACAAAAAAGACTAAATCATGACCATTCATGAGTGAAAAATTGTAGCCTAGCATGACTCATTCGTAAAGTTATTTGCATGTTATTGTAAATTCCAGAGTTATTTACGGAAGCCAACCTACTGAAAACGACGAAACACTTGTATACAACATGCTTGATGTCATAGGAGTACCTACCACATTCTCTACAAAACGTATCGGAGGGATCAACTCGGAAGGTCAACAACTACTCCACGTCGTGTGCAAGGACGAGGCTACAAGAAATAAAATACTGAAAAACGCCAAAAAGTTACGGGATAAACCTACTACGAAAGATCTATACCTAAACGCCGACATGACGAAAGCTGAAATTAAAATGCGCTATTCTTTGAGAATGGAGCTGAAGAAAAAAAGGCAAGACGACCCAGAAAACGAGTTCATGATAAAGCGCAATCAAGTCATCCAAGTCAAGAAATGACTATCCCTTTGCCTGTGGAATATTGAAGGAGCAAAGTCCACCTTCGCTATTTGTGACTTACATATGCGCTACGACTTACTCTTACTCACTGAAACTTTTGACACTGCTGGCTTAGAGTTGGCCAATTTCATATGCTACAACCAACTAGCACAAAAACGAGGTCGTGGCAGACCCATTGCAGGTTTAACAATCGCCATTAACAAGAAATTGGATGAGATTTGTGACGTACTCTTCAAAAGTAAAGAATCACTTGGCTTGAGACTACGCAAATCCGACATGAACGTCATTGTCTCATATTTTCCTCCCGACACGCGGATTGACGAAATACTATTCAAGCTGACCAATGCCCTCTCCTATTTTGATCTTGGGAAGCCAACAATAATTGGCGGCGATTTCAATTGCAGAATTGACAACTCACAACCTCGAGGTTGCGAGCTTATAGACGAAATGATTGAACTCGGATTTACGTGCCTGAATGAACCAGATGTCCTCACCTATATCTGCCATAACGGAGCGAGCACAATTGATTTTATTTTCCACAACTCTTCCGCAATAGTCGGACCACTATCTGTATTACCTTCCCATTTCACCAAGCACAACCTGGTTACATCCGAAATATCGATTAAGAATTCGAAATATTCCTCAAGAGCCGGCTCAATACGGTCGGTTGACCTGACTCAACTCGAAGAAAAAATCGCACAAATAGATTATGTCGGTGACGTAAACAGATATTACGAGAGCTTTGTTGAAGCCTGCAAATCCGCCGCCATATTGAGAAAGCCCAGAAAATCACCTCCGTGGTTTGACAAAACCCTTTACAATTTGCATAATCAGTTAAAATTTTCATACAAAAACAAGCAAACTAACCTACTGGAGTACAATTCGTCAAAAAGAATATTCAAGCGACTCTGTAGACAAAAAAAGGCGACTCATATTCAAAACAGAGAATTCGAAATCATCGAGCTTGCTCAGTCGGACAAATCGAAATTCTGGGGTATTCTCAAAGCTAGTTCGTCGAAAAAAAGTCAGAGCTCAGTCTCAATGTCTGATTGGGAATCCCATTTTGACGAGTTATACAATGTTCAAGTCTCCAGCTCCATAGAGATCAACGACTATGTGAACCTTAGTCAGCACAATTACGCCGATGACGATCCCCCAAACTGTGATTTTATCAACCGAGCTATTAGTACGGCCGAGATTGTGAGGGTCTTGTCGAAAACAGCAGGCAGAAAAGCTACAGGGCCTGACGGTATTTCAAATGAGCTGCTTAAATCTTCTTTTGGAGTCAGCTATTTATTTTTGACAACCCTATTTCAGACGTGTTTCAGATATTCAACTTTGCCAGACGTGTGGAAGACGTCGTACATTGTGCCTCTTTACAAGGGAAAAGGTCCAAAAGACTCCCCTTCAAACTACAGAGGCATCAGTTTATTATCATGCTGCTATAAAATCTACTCCGGAATTATTCATGACAGAATCTATCAATGGGCTGAAGGAAATTCCATACTCCCGCGAAACCAATATGGTTTCCGAAAAGGGCTATCCACGATTCACGCAATAAACGAGCTCAAATGCAATGTTCAAAGTGGTATAGACACATATGCACAATACTATGTCTGTTTTGTGGATTTCAAGAAAGCGTTTGATACGGTTGACCGCAATACCCTGATTCAAAAGCTCATCCGACTTGGCCTGCATGGTGAAATTATCCACGCGCTAGGTGAAATATGCTCAAAGAATTTTCAACAGGTTGCCGACGGCTGTAATCTTTCAAACAAAATTCCCCAATTAATTGGCGTGACCCAAGGCGATAAGCTCTCACCTTTGCTTTTTTCGTTATTTATAGCTGATCTCCCGGATTTTATCGATTCCAATCAATGCTTGATCATTTTATATGCAGATGATCTAATCATAGCCAGTCCTTTCCTTCTAGATGTTAAAAGATCGCTGAATGACCTCCACGAGTACTGCAGAATTAACAAGCTCACTGGCAATGTCCAGAAAACCAATATGATGAAATTCAGAAAAGGTGGACCTCTGAAAAAGTCAGACAAAGTTTTCTACGGATACGAAGAAATCGGGTTTACAAACTCATTTTGCTATCTCGGCTACAACTTATCACCGTCCCTTACCATCACAACCCACCTAAAACACTTGGTCAGATCAGCTATAAGGTCAACGTTTGCGCTCCAACAGAAATTACCGTTCTCAAAAATTAATTTTACGTCGGCCAAAAGACTATTCGAATCAATAGTGTATCCGGCGGCGATGTATGGAATCCAAACAATCGATCATGGCGTGTTTTCCGCTCAAATAGACTCCCATGTCAAACAAATCCAAGGAATCTTCTGGAAAAAATGGTGTGGACTTAGCGTTTACACCAGGAACACATCCCTCTTGCATCATATTCTTGGAGACGACTTCCTAAGAATAGATCGCGCGAGCACCTTAAAAAGAAGAATTATTGCTCAATATTATGCAAATGAGGCCCATCATCTTATTTGCTTAGTCGAAAGGTGTTTTGAGTCCCAACTGGACTGTATTTGCAGATATTGTAACAATAATATTGATTTCAGACATTTAGACACATGTCATGGCTTCACAGAATGCTCTAACACTGTGGAGAAGTTATTGAAGGCGACACGACAAGCGTAAAACAACTTATCAATTTCTCCACCTTTTTTGCACGTGCTTTTTATTTATACAATATACACGCGGTTATTATTTTATTACACATTTGTCCATTTATTGGATGTTTAATTTACTCTTTCTTCAAATTCCAGAGTCCGTACGATTATACGATCCTTATACGATTATTTTATTTTATCTTCTGTATTAATTAGCCGCAAGAGCGGATGATTGTCATTCTCGGAAATATTTATTTGAATTAATTGGTCGGAGCAGGCAGCTATTGTGGTTAGTGCATTTCCCAAACAACGAAAACTTATTAAAATCATTAGATTTGAATTCTACTTTACTGGGGGTAGGGGGGAGGCGGTTGAATTATGTACCTTAAAAAAATTTAAAAAGTCTTTTTTATTTAAGAATACTCTTTGCCAATTTAACTGCTCTATCCGACTGAGCTGTTTTCAGCTGTATACCAAATCCCAGAGAAGAGTTTTTTGAATCTTCTGCGACATGAGAAAGTTTGTGAAATCCAAATTTCCGCTAGATTCTAGGTCTAATTTTTTTTTTCAAATTTCAATTATTTTTGTTGTGGGTTATGAAGTAGGTTCGACCTGCAGACCACCCTACCAACGGTCATCGACTTGCCGCCCCCATTACGTTTATCGACCTGTCAAACGCTTTATTCGGGTAGGTCAGTATTGAAATTATTCAAAAAAATGTTTGCAAAAAAAAGGTTCATCGACCGTGTTGAGATTTTTTTTGTTTTTGTCTAAAGGGCTTTTCCGGGTGGGATCGATTAGATTATTAAAACTCAATGCGATGCTCAAGTCGTACGTCAATCAGTAGAGTACGGATTCAGATCCGCTGAAGCTGTTAAGCGATTGTTGCCTCACGAAAGCTTTCAAGCTCTGATTTCCGAGAATTCAACTTGGAATACTCGTTATCAAAAAATGTGCAGCCTAGCCTGTACAAACTAATTGAAGAAGATTTTTCCATAAAACATGATTCGTATGGTGGCTATAAATTTATAAACTACGGCAAAAAATCCTTCGCTCACGTATTGTTCTGTGGGATGAACCGAAAAGAATACTGAGAAAAATACCAGACACAAAAACCGATCTATATGTTATCCAGAAAACATCAGCAAAAATTTCCAGCTATCTTATGTTGGGTCCATTTCGGTTGATGAATTCTGACTGCGAACCGAACGCAGAATATGATTTCACGTCTCAGTACAAAACGCTGATTCGATTGATAACTTTTAAAAAAGTGTATACCTGGCGACGAAGTTTTTGTCAAGTACGGCGAATGCCAATGTAAAACTTGTACTACGCCTGAGCTAACATGCGGATCCTATCTAGTTGTTAATATTGAGAATATCTTCAACTCAGCGGATTTATTTATTTGAATGAATTTGTCGGAGCGGGTAGCTTTTGTGGTTAATGGTTTTCGCAAACAGAGAAGTATTTCTAAAATCAATAGATTTGAGTTCTACTTTACACGGGGGGATTAAATTATTTACCCTAACATTTTTTTTAAAAATCTTAAAAACGTCACGAAGATTTTAATTCGATAGTTAACTCAGAACCAGAACAGACAGAGGCCGTTTCGAGTAAAAGGATGCGATTTGGCTGTGAGCATAAAAGTCAAATATTTAAAAATTGATGAGAGAAATCGATGAACGCAACGAAGATATGGAAAAAAGACACCGGAACCACAGTTAAACGAAAAGATTGAAGGTAACAAAGATTTGAAATTAAAGACTCCAGAATCTCAGTTAAACGCAACATTTCTAAATAATGATTCAGAACAAACGATTGATAGCTCATTATGCAACACTTGCCGAGAATTACTGCAATCGTTTTCGATGCGCCAGATTACTAGCTCGCCATTACCAAACGCGTTTTCGCCTAGTCACCCTCAGGTAAACCAGCTTCAATTGTTTCATGACTTTGACGCATTTGATGATTTTGATGAATCTGATTGCGTGGACAACCTCAAACGGTATACTCCTTTTTATCCTGGAAGCCGAATAGGTTTTAACAACGCGCAGTTGTTGATCAGGTAATTTTCGATTTTCCAAAAAATAACAGATGCCTGCCAGGCTGACCTCCTGAAACTCCTGGATGCTGTTGCACCGCACCCAAATAGTTTGCCCTTTGCTTATGGAATGGTGCAAGATGGTAAAATGAACTTGCACAATATAAGAACGCAGATCGTATATGGGCCCAAAAGTCAAATTGGTATACTTCAGGTAACTGAATTGCTCAAAGGAATTGTTAAAAGAAATATACTGAACATCATCCGTTTTGACATGCGTCGTTGTTTAAGCGAGGTCTCTGTTCTTCCAGTTGATTTCTTGCATATTGCCGAAAAACGCAATGAGTTTTCGTGAATTCCAGTACAAGTCATCAAATGTACCCTGTATGGCTCGCAGTAGCTCAATTGCCACCCATATTGAGAGATTCAAATAAAAATATTGCGCTCGCTGCATTGTTTGTTGGGAAAATTAAGACAAATTGGAGAGAAGTTGTGCGTACTTTGAAGCAAGTGCTGAAGCAAGTAGTTACCGTTACAATGCCACACAGTAAAAAAAAGTTTCTGAAGATAAATGTTGTTTCAGTTGTAGCGGATTTAATTGCAGAGCCAAAACTTTTAAATGCACCAGCACAATGGTTGTTACGGGTGTCAATATTACACACGTTCAGATTTGACCTACAGATCGAATCATTCTTATTACTGTTGAGTAGTACGGTCAGAAAGAAAGAAAGAATAAAATTTGCAATAAAAGAACCGTGCCTCCATCTTAAGTATGTTGAAAAGGCCGAAAGCCTTCTTTGTGACGGTGAAGAGAACGTCAATGTGGTTGGTGTTAAAGGTAGAAGTGTGTCTAGTAGCTTGGTACCTGGCTTGCCACTAACTGCACAGACTGTCTACATGCACTGCGTGTTGATAAGGATTTACGCTGGTCTCCTCGACATACACCTGAATTGAACAAGTTAAAACGAAAAAGATGAGCTGGATCAAATTATAAGCCCATCTTCTGTTCCCTTGGAGCTGTCTCATCATGGACGACAGCCAAAGCCAACAGCTGAGCTAGTAAACTTTAAGGCCAGCGTGTATTTCACATATTTTTTATTTCTTGCGCCAATAATGTTCAGAAGTTATCTGAAATTAGACTCGTTGCAATATGCTAGTCTTCTTCGTCTGTCGTTCGGAGTTAGAGTTTTGGTTGCAACTCATGAAGAGCGCAAAGTTGCATTAGCTGAGAACCTACTGATTAAGTTCTCAGAAGATGCAGTTGAGTATTTGGATATTTAAAAAAATGTGAGACAAAAATTTGCATTGCTTGAGAAACTTACCTCACCAAGTCAGAAGATTTGGCCCTTTGTTTGTTGTGTCAGCTATGGGCTTTGAGTCAGCCCATTCTTTCCTTTCTCAATTTGCTACAGGTTCACATGGTTTCTGCCAAGTTATAGGCAGGCGTTACCTTGAGAACCATCAGCTGCTTCAATCAGACATCAAAAACGACGAATTCGCTGATTTCAAACGAAGACATGGACCCATCAAAATCTCGCTAGCCAAACTGATTTGAGATCTGCTGACACCATTGAAACTGTTCAAATTTCCACCGCCCGTTTGCTGTACCCAGAACAATAGAGTCTCGTGGCGGAGTTGGTCCTGTTCTGTTCAATTCTCGATGCTACAGAAGAAGCACAGATTGCAACAATTGAGTCTCGTGGCGGAGTTGGTGGTATTCTGTTCAATTCTCGATGCTACAGAAGAAGCACAGTTGCTCCAAACAGCCGTGTTTGTTGCAAAAAAGCCACAGTTCTAGTTTTTGAGCAAGTCGAGTATTTCATTCAATTTCCTGAAAAAATATATGTTTTATGCATATACCAAACTATATCGTGTTATACGCTATGGACTGTCGGATGACTTAGAACTCAGTTTCGGAAACTTCCTACAAGATGATGTTGCGAACAACACAGAGTGGTTTCCAGTCAACAAGTTTACAAAACTGGCTGTGATAAAAAAACAAAAAAGAGAACTGGTTGGTCTTTATGCCGAACTTTTTTGACCATGAGTAGAAACAACCCATCAAATTGACCTGAGTGACATCTGAGTTTTATAAAAAATTTTAAAAATTAGATTTTCTGCAACACCCGTCCCGTGCTTACTTCACTTGTGACACTTACGTTAACGATTTTTGATTAAAATCCTAGCAAGTAAAGCGAGCAAGCATTCTTATAATACTTGGTATTTTGGATATTTAGTGTTTTTTAAACGCAAAAGCAAGTACGAAAAAAAAAATTCAGAAAAGTCCAGTGATATATCTTTTTAAATCCCCTGCCGTTTTTGTTCGAACCCTCTAAAGTTTTCAATGAAAAATCTACACTGAGGAGAAAAATTGAGTGAGCGAGCAGGCCTATAATACGAAAATGAGATGTAGAAATTTAGTTTTACTCCAATTTATAAATATAAGATTCTTTCAGCGGCTTTTTGACTATTCCAGCGGCTTCTTGACTATACCATTGATTTATTTTTCGTTTGTTTTTCGATTAGTTTGTTAAGAAATAATTTGTGTAATACGTGACTTTGATTACTACGAGATTGTACTTAAAAAAACTTTCTAAGAATGTAAGGCTTCTTTAAGTTTTCGTTCATTTTCGCTCATAGATGAATAAAGGCAAAAACTTGACACATTGATTTTCCAAAAAAAACGTTATGTTTTTATGACTTGGAAGTTCTAATGCTACTTGCACGGCAACCGGCCCATCATTTTGTTGGATTTTGTATTGCAAGAACACCTGTCATATTTGAGTTTGTTGTATCACAAGGAAAGGGAAGCTTTTCAACATTGTGTTCATAAAGTTTTTTTTAAAACTTCAGATGATATCGATTTTTTCTATTTGCGAAATTCGCTATCAAGCCTATAAGCAAATGATGGCTTTAAAAAGTCAAGCAAGTGTGCTCCTGAGTTAAAAATTTTTGTGTTAGTTCAAAACTGATTTGAGAAGCTGATG